TTATAATATAAAATTAAATACTACTATAATATAATCCTTATTTTTAAATATTATCAAAAAAAATTTTATTTAAATATATTAAATTTTTAAAAATATATATCAGAAGTATTTTTATAGTAAAATTCAGCCCAAATTTGGCATGATTTTCAAACGGTTTAAGGAATAAGGTTTAGTTACGTTCCTTGTAAAAGACGAAGTTACAACTACTAGCAATGAGGAAGTACTACCAGCTATAATTTTAAAATGCCGCGTAGACCAAAAACAGAAATTTTATATGACTTACAAGAATATATAAAGTACCTACAACGTCTAAAGAAATGTTCCTCTGTAAATATTACAGATATTTGTATTGTATAATTTTTTATTTTTATTGTACTGTAATAGTTTTATTTGATATTTAATGATATATCTATATTCTATAATTATTTTAAAGTTACGTTATCGTCATTCAAATGCTAACAGAATCGATTGAAGATTATATGCGAACCTCAAGTCTCAAACATTTATATGTGGAAAACGACATATGTGACCAAATTACCTTTAAAAATACAAAGGTTATTTCCATAGAGTTGTATAATATTTACGAAGACTAAAGGAAGAACTTATCTGTTATGAATTGTCTAATTATTACGGAAGGGTAATAAAATCGGGTTGGCTGCCAGAATTCGAAATCAAAAATTACTTTACTGGCAGCGTAAGTACAGTATTTTTTTAAAAAATTTATTTGTTGCATTTTTTTCTTCGGTTTGTATGTTGATTTATTTTATTTTTTGGACAGAATCAATTTCGATGACGAAAGATGCATCAGATTATCTTATTAGTAAGATTTTTTTTTTTACATATATTAATAACGATTTTTTTTTTTTTTTAAACTTTCAAAAAAAAAAAAAAAAAAAATGATAACAAATTTTACTGAAAACAAGGACGTACTTTCCATGTGCAAAAAAGTCATAAACATTGTTGGAATTGATGTGGTATAATGGAAATATTAATGATACTCAAAATTCAGATTGTAGTTAGATATTGTAGTCTAATTCTGTAATACTGTAATTGAGTCAATAAAATGATATGTAAAAAATCTTTGTAAATAATTTATTTTCTAAATTTTGTAGATGAGACGTTTAATTATTTACTTATAAACTATATAAAAATTCGAATTTAGACTGACCTGAATATTATACTTTAAGAACAATAAGTATTTTATTTGACTATTACTAAAACGCACCTATATATTATCTCAAAAACTGGCTAATTAATCAGTACAAGATGTTCTAAGTAAAAATGCTCTACGCCCCCAAAACCCTTTCCAAACCCTAACCTTAACTCGAGAATTTTGTGCGAAAAATTTTATATTCAAAACAGAAAAATCTAGAAAACGAAATAAAACATATGATAGGTGCATTTTATAATAAATGTTATATTTTTATCAAACTTTTACGTTAAAATTTTGTAATATTTTTATTATTTTAAAATTAAAAATTTTAATTTTTTTTTAACATATCCAGAAATTCAAATTTACAAAGTGATAAAAGTGTTCCACGATTTCACTTTATTTTTTCGAGTTAACTTACAGCGTTGGCATTTGGACAATGTTCAATAAAAATTTATTTGGACATGGAAAATATGGACAAGACTAATCCAAATAGTATTGATCCAAAATTTTTTTAAAAATTAGTCTGGTGTAATAACGGCCAATCTACAGATTTTCCATGGAATAAAGGTGATCAATTTATGACCCACTCATGTCTTTTACCAAAATTTTTCAGCCTTTTCGGAATTTTACTCTAGTTTTAGGGTCGTCTAAAGCTGTGTGCAATCGTGTGATATAAAGCCATTCCGACGAAACAATAAAATGAGATACGTAAAAAAATACAGGAAACGAGTGCCTAAACCTACCTCGGGGCATTAACAAAAATGGTTGGGAAGCAATTTTATCATAAGGCCTACCCTCATCCTAACCCTTGCCCTAACTTTAATTAAAGAATCCAAATCACATAATCGCACACGGCTTTCAATCTTGCCTGTATTTTACGTTTAATGATATTCCATTCGGAATATTCTAAATAGTATTATTTGGACTAAGTGTCAATGTCAAATAAAAAATGTCAAATAAAAAAAAAAAAAAAAGAACAATATGAACATAATAATATAAATTATAATTTGTATTGGTGTTTATACAGTACCTCTATCTACAATATACGTAGGTAATTATATCTTTACTGACTTTTTTTTAGTTGGATTATATAAATAGTTTTATACTGTATAAAAAGTTTTAAATTTGGCACTTTTTGCATTTTTATATAAAAAAAGTAGGAAGTTTTATATTGCACCTATATTAAGTTAGTGCTTTTATGAATAGCGAATACCAATGCTTTTTTGCACTGTATAGAACTATATCAAGGTTGTGGCTATATCAAGGACTTTATGCCTAAACCAGTATTGTCACTTGGCCATTTGGCTTGCCCAAAAATTTTGTTTGGTCGCAAAAAATTGCCAACAATGACCTAAACCTATCTTGGAACATAATTACGTATATAATTAAATTACACGAACGCACTATGCTTTTAGATGCTCCCTTAACGTTAAATACTGTAGTATCATCCCATAAATTACCTAAAAAAGTTTAAAATGACGGACTTTATGCAATTAGATGGCACACTATAACATTTAAATGAATCTTAAATTATCATAAAGTTATCAAAACTAGTGAACTTTATTAACAACAGAGTGCTTTATAAGGTAATAAATGCTTAATGTACTGTAAAATTCAGAAATTTAAATACGCAAGGTACAGTAAGTACTGAAGTATACAACTATGAATTAGATTTGTCACACAACTATTTAATGTTAATTATAATATGTAACTACAGTAGTGTACTACTAAAATGAAACCTTCTTGTATAATTTTTGTAAATTTTAATCCTTGTAAAGTTGACAAGAATAAAAAAACTTTTTTTTTCATAAAATATTTTTTGGTTTTAATACGTATCAGAAGAAGAATAACTATCCTATTTTAGGTAAAATCGCTCGTATAATATACAGCATATAATTACAAGATTAGAGATATGAATGATCCGCAGCATTTGCGTAATCTTGAACACTAAAATGTAAACCGATAAATTCACAAATTTAGTAGAATTTCGGAAAAAACCATGTGCCCGATCAATCCAAATCAAAAAATCCCCCATTACATTAATGGAATAAAAGGCTAATTCAATAAGTTTTGTTTCGTATATATATGCACGTTTCCTTCGCGCCTCTTAATACAATCTATATAACTGATTTATTGATGTATGCTGTGAAACTTTTCATGTTTTAGTCACATGTTTTGAACAGTTGTGACTAAGCCACTTGGGTGACTCAAATAATGTATTTACACAACTAAATGCGTCAAAAATGTAAAATTGATTTTAACTTTTTTCTTAATACAAGTTCTAACTTGAACTTCAAAAAAAAACTTTATTTTTCAAGTAGCGCGTATATTAGATAAAAAAAAATTATTTTTTTTTTCACAATGTCACAACCAGTACAACCTATCGTAAAAATTTTTACTCCTCCATCGTCTCCACCTACAATGACAGGTCAAGAGGAATGGGATAGTGTTGACGATTTTTCGGTAGATTCTTTGCGTGCTGAAGTCTCTTCTACTGCGCAAAGTATTTTTACACCTAGTTCGCCTCCTGAAGAAATAAATGGCGAAGAGCTTCCTAATGATTGTGATGTCCCTAAAAATTCTTCAACTGAACTTCTACAAAAAATGGGGTTAGTCTTATATTTTTTAAAAAAAAAAAAAAAAAAAAAAAAAAAAAAAAAAATGTGTAAAAGAATAACTGTTATTTTTATGTTCGGGATTCTATTCACATAAAATATTCGTTGATTTGTTTATTATTTCCTTAGTTTCTCATTCATTCATTTATGTCAACAACTAAATACATTTTTCCATAAAGGCATTGGTTTTATAACACGAAGCTTGTTCAATATATGAAATCAGATGAAAGGTCAAGGGTCAAACAAATTTATTCAACAAATTCTATATGGATGCTTGGAATTGAATATAATTTTTCGGGTAAATTAATAATTAAATTGATCCGTATTCAAAATATAATTACCTTTTCGCGTAATTGATGATTATATGCTTTATAGAGGATTGCGGGTCCGTCAACCTTCCGAAGTTTGATAATGATAAAGCTCGGAGTAGTCGAGCTTCTTCTTTTTTAAATTTAGTTTTTGGTTCTTCTGAAGAAGATAATGATTATGATGATACGTCAGCAAATGATCGAAATCATAATGATGATTCTATTCAATCACATAAATTAGGCAAATCTCGTTCTTTTTCACAAGCTGTATATGGTGTTGACGGCCAACATTTAGGTGTACCTCATCCAAAACCAACTCCAAGGGTTACTCCTAATTCGTCGGTGACCGGCCCAAATATAGTTATCCAACGTTTAAGGACATTATCTTTCTCCCAAAAATCTCCCCCTGAAAATAAATCTTTTCCTGACTTATCCCTTTCAAATACTGAGAATCGTGTTAATTCAACTTCTTCGAATCCTGTGTATAGGCAAGGTGGTAGACGGTTACATTCGTTTTCATTTACTAAAAAGTCCGATTCTCCTGATATTTCACAAATCGATTCAAAATCTTCTTCCATAATTCAATCTGATAATCCAATAAATTCCCCTCCAACAAATAATCTTTTACAAACTCCTAATCAAAAACGTTCTTCAATAATTGCTCCAAATTTTTTACAAAAATTTTCAAATTCAACCTCAAATTCAAATTCAAATCAAGCCGTTGAATCTTCAAATTTCACTGCTCACGGTATCTTTTCATCAAAACCAAAAAAGCCTCGTCGAATGACTTTTGCAGGAATTTTCTCTGGTAAGGAGAAAAATAAACTTGGTAATTCTTCTCGAAAATTATATCCACATGCTGAAATAGAAGGTGATGTGGATTCTAAATTTTCTGGAAATGAATCAAGGCTTAAGTACACAAGTTTTGAAGATATTGATAATTCTAGAAATCAAATCGCCGAAATTTCTTATCCTGAAGATGTAATATATAGCTCTGGTGAGAGTGATGACGGTGATATCAATTCAAGAATTGATGATGTTGAATTGGATGCACTTTCGGGTGATAATGTTTCTGTGGAAACTGTGACAAGAGAGTCTATTTCACAAAAAGGCATTAAATATTTTAATTTAGATAATAAAAACGATAAAGGTTTCTCTGATGATAATATACAACAAACTAACTTGCAAGCTAATACAGATTCTTTGCATAAAAGAAAGATATCTGACGCTGGATCTGTTAGATCAACCAGTTCATTTCAATCAATATCGACTCCAACTAGTCTTTATAAACCTGACTCATTTAGCTCATTGTCACCAAACCAAAAAAAATTGTTGGACTTTTATTTGGATTTTCAATCAAGAATTTTTTGTTGTTATCGAAAAGATTTTCTTCCTATCGAGCCAGCTTTTCATACTACCGATACGGGTTGGGGTTGTATGCATAGAACTGGTCAGAGTTTACTAGCTCAAGGGTTTTTGTGGACCCTTTTAGGGAGAGGTACATTTTGTTTACTAAATATGATGTATTACAATTATACTTTGTAAAATTAATATGTAAAATTAATATGATGATATATCCATTTTTATATTTTTTATTTATTTATGGCCATTTATTTCATATAGACTGGCGATTACATAATGACCAAAAAGAATCTGACAAATTAATATATCGCAAGGTATTATAATTATATATGGATCGGTTATTGATCATATCCATATTTTTAATATTAATATTATTTCTTATATATTTAAAAGATTTTGCGATGGTTTATGGATGGTCCAGAGCCTGAACAATACTATTCTATTCATAACATTGCACGTACGGGAATTGCTTTGGATAAGAAGATTGGAGATTGGTTTGGTCCTGCTACAGTAGCACACGTATTAAAGTAGGATCTATTCAAAAATTCATATTATCTTTTATCATTTTTATCTATGTTAATTGTTTTTAATAAACTTTATTACAGGAGATTATCTTTGAATCATAAAGAATGTCCGCTAACTATTCACATTCCAGCAGATAACACTATATATAGGACGGAGGTTATTAATATAGCTATGGGAGAATATGATAATAATTTATTCAGTGAGCAAAAGGAATGGAAACCTATACTTATATTACTTTCTGTTAGGTTTGTATTTAGCCTCTTATTTTTTTACATCAGTTTTGTGTAAAAATTTTACAACTTTAAATTTTTTTTTAGATTGGGTACTGATAGATTTAATCCAAGTTATTTTGGAAACTTGAAGGTATTTATGCATAAAAAATTCTATTGTATTAATATTAATAATTACAAAAATATATTGGTTATTAATACATTTCTTGATATGTAACAATTTCAAGACTCTTTTTACATTCCCTCAATTCTTGGGAATCGCAGGCGGTAGACCAAGAAAGTCTTTATATTTTGTAGCCGTTCAGGGTATGCTTACAGAATAATATATAGTATATTTTTATCATTGATAATCTACAATCGCTCAACTTATTCATATATGGTTAGATGATGAACTCTTATATCTTGATCCACACTTTGTTCGACCTGCAATAAATCTCAATAAAACCACAGAATTTCCGCTTGAAGTATGTATTTTATTAATTTGATTTGTATGTGCAATAGCTATTTTTTTCATGGTTATTAACACAGCATAACATTTATTAAGGATTACCACTCTACAATTGTTCGAACAATGGACATTAGCGAAACGGATCCCTCTATGCTTTTGGGATTTTTGTGCCAAAGACCTCAAGATTTTGATGACCTTTGCGAACGAGCTGAGCGGGTAAATTTAAAACCTTTATAAAATAAATATTCTTTTTAAGTATACTATGTCACATGTTTTTTTTTTCTTTTTGTAGACAATGAATCCGCAATTCCCGATTTTCACTATATTGAATATGTCCCCTATGCGTGAAACTTGGTTGAGCACTAAATCTATGAGTGAGATGTCAAGTACTATTGTAGATGCAGAAACATTTAATGATGATTCAGATGTTGATGATGATCTCAAAGAGATAATAATGGATGAAGATGATAGTATTGTAGGCGAGGAAAATTATGAACTCCTATAAATTTCATGAAACCTTCAATTTTCGATTCATAATAATCCTAAGGGACAATACATAGAACATGTGACTTATCATTAAAGTCATATGAATAGGCAATTTTGACTTAACATTCAAACCATTTAACCATTTTAAACCATTTAAACTGTATTTATATTACTAAATGTATTTATAATTGTTTGTTATTGATTTAGTACAAGATTAGAAACATTTAAAATGTCTAATAAATGATGTACATAAAAATTAACTATATACTTTTAATAATCATTTCTTTATTTGTAAAATTGTAATATTTTCTTATATCATATTCACGATGCTAATTTCTGAATTTGTATACTAACGAACAACTTGCAGAAAAGTTATGTACATACGTATGAAAGTGTTGGTTTATGGGTATAAATAATATTAATTTAGTTTTACCAGATTAATTATACGTACCAGTTTCACTAGACTCATACAAAGTGTTACAAAAAAAAAAGAACAAAGTTTGTCCAGCCACATTACATAAGAATTACATCCATTGTACATGACTATAAATACAGAACAATAATACATCCAATCAAATCATAATAAAATTAAGCTCCGGACACAATACTATGCATTCTTACGCGTCTATGGTTATGCCAAGTACGCCTATCTGTGTTATTTCGAGATAAAGGGGGCAATTTCAGAGTTTGATTAATGATTATATATATGTATTACGTATAAATTCACAGATACAGTATATGAAATGCGCATAATTCCGAGATGCCCAAGAGCGTTATTTTAAATTATATTGTTTTTAAAGAAACCTATTCAAAATAATGCCTATGGCCGTTATTTCTGATATGTTATGCAGGAAGTATTACAGTAGTTTTTTTATTTATTTATTTTTTTTTAAAAAAAATAAGCATTTTGTTTGTTTTAAATTCATTAATCCATACATTTAAAAAAGGTTATTACTAACTATAACTGGTGGTGATTATCACCGGGTGCTATATCTCAAAAACCTACTAACTAATTCGAGATACTAAGCACTTTTATCCTCCAAAAACCTAACACTAACTAAAATTTGAACTATTAGCCCTCCTATGTGTCCCAAACTGCACCCTAACCCTATAAATAAGAGGCGATGATGATTACCAGTTATTTGTAGTAAAAATCTAAAAAAAAAAAAAAAAAAAGAATTAACTATTAAATTGTTTATTTAATTTGAAAATCAAATACTGAAATATATATTAGGAAAATGCGTAGCGTTATAGTTCCGAAGCATATATGATAATCATCTTATTACAAAAACGCGTGAATATGCATATTTTTGTTATAATAAATTAACAAATTTGGACACGCGTGCGGACAGACAAAAAAAAAATTCAAAATTACTTTTCTGATATGATCATCATAGCGTTTATGCGGATACATAAAATAAGTAACTTTTTTTGGTCGAAGCGCATCAAAAACGTAATTTTTGTATCACTTAATGCATAGCGATTGAGGATCCTCCGCTACACTCCGGATCAATTAAAACTATTAGTACAGGTTTGGGCGACATAGTAAACTTTAAATCCCTAACTGTAACACATTTTAAATATATATACTAAATATAGTTAATTTTATTGTGGCAAATTTTAGTACGTACGTATAACACTTACGTACGTAACACATTTTCTTGTTTTTTAACAAATGGGCCTCGTTTTCTAAATTTTACTTAGAATATTTATTATTCGGTAGTAAGATGTCGAATTGAAAAATATTATCATTACTACAGTATAAAAAATGATAACGAAATTTAAGATATAATAATGTAACAATTAAATTGGATAGTTCAGTATAATATTTTGAATTTTACTAAATATAGAGTCCAGCGATAACACCAGATTCATATGATAATAAATATTTTTTGAACAAATTTAATTTTTCATAAATTCATTATTCACGAGAAAAAATAGTTTAATAAGAAATTAAAAAGGAACTTTTGTTTATTTTATTATTAAAATTACTAATTAATATTATTAATTTTCATATATTATTTTTTTGTTTACTAACCTAATATTTGTTTTTTAATATACGAAATATATCTACAAAAAATTATTTTTATGTATTGGTCAAAACCTTAAATTGCTGTTCCAAGCCCTCCTCCTAATCCTCCTCCAAATCCTCCTCCTGATCCTAGACCCAATCCAGCTAGACCCAATCCACCAAGTCCACCAAGTGCGCCAATGGGTAGAACTGAAAGAGGAATGGCTCCAGCGGGACTAATACGCTTAACCAATCCGACTTTATTTTCACCGCGTTTTTGTTTAGGATTTTCACCGCGTTTTTGTTTAGGACTTTCACCGCGTTGTTTTGGTTTATCATCGCCTTCACGCTTAAGGAGCGCGCCACCTGTTGAGAGGGAGTTTCCACTAAATCCAGTACCAAATCCAGAACCAAATCCGGTACCAAATCCAGTACCAAATCCACTGCCAAATCCACTGCCAAATCCTCCAAAGGTGCCAAGTCCAAGTCCAGAAGATAAGAGTGGAAAGCCGATTAATTGTCGTTTTTTAAGGGGCATAATTGGAGCATTGGGTAATGATTTTGTCTCAACCGGCGCAGAAATTGTAGAAGCGGTGAGAATTGATACAATAACCATTAAAGAGAAAAGGGAAATAATAGATTTGTTATTAAAGTTTTTGAAATGCATTTTTTTTGTTTTTTTTTTGTAATTTTTCTTCTTTTTTTCCTTGGAGAAAAAGATTTGGAGTTTTGGAGTTTTATACTTTTTGGGTATACTAAAGACGTTAGACGATCAAATAGGAATCATTGATGCTTTTTTGCTCATGCGAAAAGGCAAATCTTTACGATCATTATGTTATAATGAAAATGTTAATTTTGTATGATCAGTTTCATTGAAAACGCATAATATGAAGATTATTATGCAAACGTTTCATAATAAAAATAAAATACATTTGATTGTAATTTAGATATTATTAGATTTATTGGATTTATAAAGCAGAAATAATCACTCAATAATCACCGATTTTATTTATGCAAATATGAATATGAATAGTGATGAATATCGTTATTATGCGAATTCGAAGAGGTGTATATTTAAACATTAAGTTACATCAAATCGAAAATTGATTTTGAGATGCGTCAGATCAGTTTATCATTATGCGTCAGATCGAAATGTGCATAACGAATACCGTATATACTTTATAATAATAATAATAATAATAATTGGTTGAAACTAAAAAGAGGCATGAAATGAAGGCTTTCAATGCCTTACTCTACGAGATTTCCAAAATATCCGGTTTACCGATTCAACAGATTTAGGTTCAGCATCCGGGAATTGAAATTAAATCAATGTTTACGAATAACCCGAATGATTTTAATGTATTAGATCATTTTTTTAAATAGAATTTCCATTATGCTGACGATAGGATATGTTGATTTTATAATTAACATACTTTAAAGACGCGACTTTTGTTATTAAATGATATAATTTTTAAAAAAGGTTTGGTCGACGTACAATATAACGCGACCATTCGAGTTGATAAAATAGAAGTTTTGATTTTTGAGGTCTGTTTTGATGAGATGTATTAGCAATCAAAGCAGTCGACATGTGTGTTTGATTTTTAATACTGCAATATGTTTTTTGATGACAAATCTAAAAATTGAGAAAAAAAACGAATGGATTAATAAAGTATATAAGGAAGATTTCTTTGCTCCGTTGATTATTATTATACATTCCTCTTTCTTCTTACCTGCCTTTGGTCAGAAAACAAGTATTATGTAAAAAGCAAGGGTCTACATGCGTGAATTCCGAGGTTAGGTACATCTCTATAAATTCACACCCATGATAACATCCAACTATTAAATTAGGTACACGGTTTGTAATCTTTTTTCATTAAGTAGATTCAGTTTTTAAATCAATAAATTGGTGTTTTTTTTTTTTTTTTTACATATGCTGTATATTCAGCCAAAACATTGCTTTTGACCATTTTTATTAACCTGCCTTAAAAAGATTCGCGTCGATAATCAATATGACGTGACATATACATTATATTCGAATATGGATTTGGAAAAGTGAATTACTAATTTCTGGAAGAAGGTATAAACTTTTGGAAATAAATGTTAGTTGTTGGTGGTATCTTTGTCACTGGGTATAGTTCTTGACTATTGAGAATCAAATGTAGATTAACCAGTGCGATTTTGAGTTGAAAAAACAGTATAAAAAATTAGATGTGCGATCGCACATGAAATTTTCTAATTTTAATATGAAGTAATCATATGAGTGCGCATATACCGGGTGGGTGAAAAGTCCCTATACAAGACCTTTTTTTTAATCATTGGCATACTGTATTTTTTGATTATTATTTTAACGATTACACTGATTTGTATATTATATAATAGATATTGAAAATAATAATAGTAATAAAGGTCATGTATAGGGACTTTTCACCCACCCGGTATTTCGAACCGAACTTTTTACACTGTTGAAAAGAATGATATACGGATACTTCATATCTATTTGAATATCAGATTTTTTGTAATATTGTGATGTATATACTTTCTTGTTATCCTGACTCAAGATACCCACGATAAGTTTTTTTTGCATTATTTTTTCTTGGTCAATAAAAATGGGTCAAGTGGGTCAAGAACAATGTTTTTGCATATATGCATCATAAAAAAAAAAAAATTAATTAAGGGAATAACATCAAACCTTATAATTCATCAAGAATAGTTTGTAAAACTGTTTAACATATGACTATAATGAAATCTGAGCGGAATATTTTTTACCTATTGCTTAGACTTAAGATCCTCCGCTTCGCTCTGGAAACTACAGTACAATAGGCCATATTTCCTAATTTGCGTATCTGCTTTTGGTTAAGTCATCATCAACTTCTTTTTACTTGGCTCAACTTAATTTTGAACTAGGGTAACAGTTTGGCTCGGCTCGAGTTTGGTCAGCTTATAAATAGCTCGATTCTAGTCTAGAGAGTCGAACTTGGTCAACATCATGGTGTTTCAAGTTGATTAAATTTTATGACTCGTCTAAGTATTAAATTTTTATTAGCTTAGCTAATAATTATTGATTAAAAGCTACATTGATGTAAATTTTCACAGTTTATTTAAATATAGTTAATCTCAAATTTTAAGTTCTGAAGCTTGGGTTAACAAATAACTGGCATACTAGTTATGAGTGTAAAATAAAACTATATGTATTACTAAAATTCGTGTGGCTGCTTCCAGGCATTTGATTGGCTACTTATTAGGTACATGACACACGAATTAATTGATTAAAAACTACTTACGTACGTACCTTCTTGATACATAGGTATCTGATTAAGTATCGGCCAGCTAAGAATCTAAAGTGTTCGACAGGGCACCCTTGAAGTTCGGGTTTCGATTCACAAACCGCAGATCAGCCTGCATTACGCAATGTATTACGTTATTTTAGCCAGAATTATACGAATCTAAACAGCTGGCTAAATCAGTTTAAGCAATAAAGTTCATAACGATAAGTTTAAATAAAGAGATAGTTTTCGAATCATACAATTTTTGAATTCGAAACCACCCTATCACCACAGATATCAGTTATTCTTAAAATATCATCGGCTGAACTTTATAATTTATTTGCCAAAGTTTCTAAACACTTGAACAACGATATCTTAGGTATGACACAACTTTTTTGACATTTAGAGCAGTGTTTAAAATTGGCAAGACGCACATGTGCTTTTAATATGTAAATATATTTTATGCAAAATTTTAGAAAAATGTTGCACGAAAATATGATAAATTTTTTTTGTAAAACTAAATTTATGCATGTAAAATTTTTTTACTTGCAAATGCACAAGTAATTTTTGTTCTAAATTTTGAACACTGGTTTAGAGTCGAATTCTACAGGTCGGTAGAATCTGAAAATATACTTAGACATTGAATTTACCAAGTAATTTTCGTGGGTACTGTCTAGCGTCACCAACTTGAAAATTTTCGCCATTAGTGTTAGCGTTAGGGTTTGGGTGTTTTTGTTATTACACTTGATCTTTAAATTTTGACTTGACCAGACAACAAAATTTTTTTAGGTTGGTTGTACAATATTTCTTTCATTTAAAGTTTTTAAAACAACGGTTATTAAAATTTATTTTGTTTTAGCATACAAGTTCGAATAGCTGCAATATTACCATGTGATGAATTATCTGAACAGAAAACATTTTAATGGTTTCTGTTTGGTTCTTGCATTAATATTCGTTTATATAAATTACTTCACATTATAAAGTTATCTGCACTTAAAAAAAGTATCCAAAATTAAACACCTTTAACAAAAAAAAAGATACTTAATTTAGAAACCACCAATATTTAATCATAAAACTTTTAAAATTATTAGAAATATACAAAGACTGTAATATTTGAGATTAAATAATAATATTATTTTTTGAGTAATCATTTAGAGAAATATTAATTAACTATATGACGAGTAATAATTTATACCCTTAAAGCAATTAACTCAATAATCTAAATACCAATTAAATAAGTAATAAATTTATATAATTATAAATACTGTAAGCTTAATACTGTATAATACTTTCCAAGAGGAACTTCAACAGATTCAATAGGTTTATTTTCTAATGTCACTAATAAGTAATTAGTTTAAACGAATAAATATATAATTTTTAAAATAATAAACACCTTTAATTGCACTTGATATTCTTCGGGTATTTATTATTTTGCTAGTATACATAGAATCTGGATGTTTCGGTAATATAATTGGCAATGCGTTGATTATTTTATCAGCATCTAAGAATTGTTTCTTAATTTCATTTGGATCGATTGAATTCACCATGTATGTGTCCCATTCATTAAGTTTATACCAAATGTTAACGGCTTTAGGCCGTTTTTTTGGATCATAATCAGTGTTATAAATTCAAAAAATTTTTATTGGCGCAAATGCAAAAAAATGCGCACAAAAAAAAAAAATGCGAGGCAGATCCTCGATTTTGATTGGCTAAGAGCGACGATCAAAATATTAGGCCGGAATTACTCATAATTTTACTAATGAAATCACAGCCGCCCATTAAGTGAAAATTGTTCCTGGGTCAATTTTACCATAAT